TTTTTTTTTTTTTGGGGGGGGGGGGGGAAACGCATCGATGGAGAGGACGGTTAGAGCATTCATTAATCGTTTAAGCCGAAACAGTAAGAAAAGAGAAAAAACGAGAAGAAATTTTTGAATTAATTAGCTGCGATATTCGGTTATAGTTCTGTTATCATTTTTGTTATTGTTACCATTATTGTTATTATTATTATTAATATCGTCAATGTTATTATTTTTGCTATTATTATTACAAAATACAGCAAAAACATCTTATTAAATATTGTACAGAAAAAGTATTATAACATAAATGGAGGAACAAAGCCTCTATTAAATTTAAATAATACAATTTTTGGCTTACAATTGTATTAGATTTCTGTATTTTTTTGTTATAACAGTTTTAGTGAATATAAAATTTGTGCAGTAATATTTTGTGAAAATTTAGGCGAGAAGGAATATTTTTTTGTGTTTAGTCTTTCAGACATTTGCATAATATTCTTTAAGAACTAAGAGTTAAGTGATATCTGTTGATATTATTGTTAAATTACATATGCATCATTAATACTACTACATTTTGGACTGAGTCAGTGTATCAACAGTTAGTCTGGTAAACAGTTTAAAGCAACAATCAACCCGAATTAACTAAATTTGTCTTTTAAAATATCTTAAATTTTACTGTACTGTTTATCGAGCTTAGAAATTTGTAGAAAGATTTCTATGATAAGATAATAAATTGGTTGAACATATTATAATCTTTTGCTGTTACATACTTATAGAATATACTATTCCCAGTCAAAATGGCAGAATAAGTGGTGACAAAAAAAAGAGCAAAAATTAACAACTATAAATTAGCTTTAATTTCGCCAGCAGTTAGCAATGACAGAGCAATAAAACTAAGTGAGTTTACTGGCTTCCTAAGGTTGCACGTCGTAAACATAATCGCCGGATGTTAACGTTCCCTGTGAACATACTGCACCGGTGAACGGTAAACCGACACCATTTGCATTAACAAACTGCCAAACACCAGTTGCCGAACAAGTAATCTAAATTTTGCATGAATTAGTCTTAAGAACAAATATTTCTCCAGATTAGTCAAAGCAAACAGCATTTATTTGAAATAAGAAACTTTGTACCTATCCTTTATGCTCACCAAACCGTATACAAATATAGCCTAGGCTGTCATTTTTAAAAAAAAATTTCAAAAGAATGGCAACAGAAAAAGGCTGATTAGGAGTTTCGGAAAATTAAAATAAAAGAGTAGGTGCAATTTACTTTTTAGCGAAGGAAAAAAAACTTGTTAACTATGGATTATCATTGAAATGCAACCTAAAATTACCACCAAAAAAAGCCATCAGTTAAATACCGTAAACAAAATGGCATTTTCTACAGCTTTTATTCTTTTTGGTTGCTGCATCAAACACTTGGTTGGCTAATAAATACCGACTATTCTGTCTAAAAATTCCAATCAGATTCTCTCAGTATCACAAAATGCCATCTCATCTGTTACAGTAGATGTCATTTGACGAAGATACCTCAACTTTATGTCGGAAATTTAAGAAGATTTAAAGTTGATAGATAATAAATAGTGGCAGAAAATGGCTCAATTTTTTATATTTTACGTCACAGTTTACCATTCATCTCTTTAGCAGCAGGTAGTCTACGTTTGTTTTGTTTTAAAACTAGAACTTCTAAAGGGACTAGTTTAGTTCTGTGTTCATAGACTAGGTAATAAAGAAAGAAAGTAAAAAAATTATAATAATTTGGAATTTTTAATGACATCGAAACAACTTGAATATGAGAGGCCCACACTCTATATTTTTTGAAAAGGTAACAACAGGCAAAAATCAGTATCACTCCTCCATCTTCTGAGTACCAATTAAGAAACATTGGATTACTAGAAAAATAGTAGGTCTATAAAAGAAAAAGTGATTAACATACAATTATAATTGCTTGTGTAGCACCGGTACTTGTTGCAACAATATTTGTACCATCAACAAGTTCCAGAACAACTTGAGATACCTGAAATAAAACAGATAAATCATACAATTCAAAGTTTATCGAAGACTACTAATAAACGTGAAAAATTTTTTGAAAATTTGAAATTGCAGTTATGTCAGTTAACTACAGCATTTTATTCTATCTCCCTTAGTCAATTTACAGATAACAAAATGTAATATTTGTGGAACTCTGAGCGACATTTATGGCATCAGTTTTGTATTTGGAAATCAGCACAATCTAATTTACTTAGACAGCGACGTAAAATCTGTTTTTTTTTTACTCCATTTAAATAAAGTCAACTTTGCAGGCATAATTAAACGGTAAAAAAAAATTCAGTCTACAATTGAAGGCAATGAATCAATTACTGTAGTTCCTGGAGCTCTGGAGCAAACCAGAATAGCTTCACTTGGACAATTTCCTCTTGTAAACCTGCGGAACACAGAACACTGATCCAGATTAGCACCAACACTACCAGTTACCGGTCGTACTCTTGGTGGATTATTTGTTGTGATTACTGGGCAGCAAACTGAACATTTACCAAATAATTAGAGCCAATTTTAACCAAGACTGCATTGAAAAATTATTGTATAAAAAAACAATTGAAATCTTAAGTTTTACTGTTATCAAATATTTATGTTACCTGGTGCTGCTGTTGTTGTTTGTATAGTTGGTATACAACCAATAGCACCGCTTACATGACTCAAAAACAACAGCATCGATACTGCAACCATAACAGATGATACAGTAGCTGTTCCTAAAAATGT